TCCTCCAGTCCTCTGGCACTGTGGCCATTTTAAGAGATAAATTGTGTATTTTATTTAAGAGATCGGTAACTTCATTTCTCAGTTCCTTAATAACCCTTGGGTGGATGCCATCTGGGCCCCAGTTACTTATTGATCTTCAGTTTATCGATTAGATCTAAAACATCCTCTCTTTTAACCTGTATCTGATTTAATTCATTAGTCAGGAGGGAGCATTTTTATTAAATTCTCATTATTTGAGGAGAAGGCTGCAGAGTTAGCAGTTCAGGGAAAAAGGTAAGTCATGAGGTGTCTTCATGAAGCTTCCATTGCCCAAGATTCAGTTCTTTTTAAGTCCCAAAGATTAGGTTTCATATATCCAGAAGAGGTTCCATTACTAATCTCTGACTTGGAAGACTCAGCCCAAGAGTCCATTGGTCTATCTCAGTCGCCCTCACTTTGTCACGGTTTGAAGCTGATAATACAGGCTGGGTCCCTTTAAGAGGCAAGGCTTCCAGTAGTGTGGATAGAAAACCGAGCACAGTGATAGGGCTAACTTCCTCTTTAAGATTCAGTCTGGAGCTGATTCTCATTGGAACAAGAAGTCTTATCTGGCTTTCAGGATTCAGCACTAGAGATGGGGGTATTCTTATACGAATATCCCTGCACAAGTGGCGTTAACGAGGGTCCAGCCCCATGGGGGCAGACGGTCCACTCACTGATCTGCCACAGACAGTGTGATTCTGTGAATGGTTCTGCAGTGCATGATCTGTTTGCTACTCCTGGCAGGAGGCGGGAGAACAAGCCTCGCTGCAAGGTCAAAGAGTGGAGAGCGGATCGTGCACTGCGGCACTATTTGTAGAATCACACTGTCCGCAGTGGATCGGTGAGTGGACCGCCCGGCCCCATGGGGTTGGACCCTTGTTAATGCCCCCTGTGCAGGGTCATTCTTATTCATATATGAATACGCCCATCTTCAGCACTGCTTGGAATGATCTGTGATGCTGATTTATGTGTTCCTACATGCATCTTGCCCTATTCATATCTCTCCCCAAGATTGGGCTTGTGGCAGATGCTGCAAATTGAGAACCTGGAAGAAGGCTACAGAGCATGTGACACTTGACTCTGAGTGGTTATGTGTAATCTAGAAGGAGCTCTTTCACATAATCTGCTGGCAAGTCTTGTATGGGTTTGAAACACCAGTGATTGGAATTGGGCCCAGTGTAGGTCCCAAAACACCAGGCTAATATACAGTGGTGCCCCGCATAGCGAGGTTAATCCGTTCCGGATTAACCTTCGGTGTGGGGAAACATCGCTAAACGGAACGGAAAAGCCCATTGTTCCAAATGGCCCAAAAGTTCCAAATGGGCCCAAAACTCGCCATTTTGCAATGTTTCCCCATGTTCCGGCGGCCATTTTGGGTGTTCCGGCAGCCATTTTGGGTGTTCCGGCGGCCATTTTGGGTGTTCCAGCGGCCATTTTGGGTGTTCCGGCGGCCATTTTGGAACCGCCGAACAGCTGTTCCCCCATCGCAATGCGATAAAACATCGGTATGCAATCGCATTAGCAATCGCAAAATCCGCATCGCTATGCGGATTCATCGGCGATCGCAAAATC